ATAGTTGTTGATTCCACCTTTGCCCGTGATTGTGCCATGGGACACATAGGGGTTCAGACATTGGATCGGCAATCGCCTGCTGTTAAAGTGAGGCTTGTCAAACAGTGGCTTGAGCGCTGGCATCGCTCGGTGTTGATCCACTGGACCCCATCCCACCAAGGGACTTTTGGAAATGAGTTTGCAGACAGAGTGGCTGCATTTTGCTCGCGTAGGGGACACACGGGGGCTTCTGTTCCTTGTTGTGTTGGACAGTTGCTTAGTCATCCTCTTCTGACGTGGGCTTGGGCGGCTACTCTTAAGGTTCCTGGACTGGTCAGGCTTCAGCAACTGCAGGAAGGAAGGTATGAGAGTTCAGATAAGATCCCGGAGGAGTGCATTGAAGCCATCCTTAGCGATGTACGGCCGAGAAGTGTGTCTCGGGCAGTTCTTGTGCACCTGCGCCTTTGTACAGCAAATGTCTGTTCACTTAGGAACAAGTGTGCGGTGCTGAGGCGGCAATTCGGTGAAGAGAAAGTTGCTGTAGTGGCTCTGCAAGAGACTCGGCTGGGATCCGATTCAGTTTTTCTCTCTGATGGTTGGGTCATTGTTCAAACTGCGGCCAAAGGAGGTCAGGATGGTTGCGCGTTCTGGTTCAACGTCGGAGTTTGGAATGAAGAGCTTGAAATCGAAAATTTTGGGCTTCAGCAGGTATGCGTGTTGGATGCCAGACATGATTGGCTTGTTGTACGAGTTTCATGCGGGAACTTCGACGCCATATTTGTCACCTTCCGGGCTCCGCATTCCTTGAAGCCTGATGCGGAGATCCGGGAATGGTGGCGAAAAACTACCGCGTCAGTCAATGGCTTGAAATCCAAGGCTAGTTTGTTCATTCTGGGAGATTGCAATGCTCAGGTGTCTTATGCTGAAGATGGCGTTGTAGGGCCCTTGGCGACTGCTGAGGAAAATCTTGCTGGGGAGCTTTTGGTTGGCTTGTGTCAAGATGTGGATGCGGCTTTGGTCAACACCTTTCCATCTGCTGATTTTCCTGTCCAGATGAAAAACACATGGAGGGATCGTTGCATTGATTACGTTGCCGTACCGCGTTCGTTGCTGATTGGGGCGGAGGTCTGCAACATTGGCATTGATCTGTGTAATCCTCACGACGATCATGAAGCGCTGTGTGTAGCTGTGAAGCTCCCGTGCAAACCGCGTGCGGCTGCTTCAGTCGATCAGGCAAAGGTTCGCAGTGTTTGTAGGGAGAGCAGCAACTGGAAGTGCGTGGAAAACCCTAGTTGGAAGTGCAATGTCCACAGACATGCTGAACACATTTTTCATCAGGCTAAGAGGCATCAGAAGGCCAGTTTCAACATTCGACCCCACAAGCCTTATGTTTCCTCGGGCACCTGGGACTTGGTTTGTCAAAAAAGGGCGAGTCTTTGCACCAGAAGAAGATGTTTACAGGAGTGCAGGAAGGCCATTTTGAGGGGGTTTCTGCGTGCTTGGAGGGGTTCTGTTTCTGGCCCCGGTAGTTTTCAAGGCCCCTCAGGCTCCTTAGTGCCCGTGGGATGTTGGCGCCTGAGGTTCATCAAGGTTTTCGCTCGCATCAGGAATGTCTCGCGTATGCTGACGTCTGCTTTGCGTACAGACAAGCGGGCGTACATCGAAAACGTGCTTCGAGGCGCTCGCGAGGCCATTGAAGCAGGGGACACTAAGAAACTCTGGCACGACCTGCGTTTCTTTCGGAAAGGAGGGAAAGCCAACAAAGTTTTCAAAGCGTTGCCGTTTCTGTTGGATGCTGATGGTGGCACGGCAGGTGATCTTCAGGAACAGACGTGTATCAAAGCTCAACATTTCGGCAGCATGGAAGCTGCAGTGCCTTGCACTGCTTCACAAGCGGTGCAAATGCAGTTGTGCGAGTTTCAGGACCGGGATGTGCGGTACAGAATGTGTGACTTGCCTACGCTGTACGATGTTGAACAAGCCTTGGTCAAACTGCCGAGGGGAAAAGCGCCGGGGCCGAGCGGAATACGCAACGAGTACTGGTTGGAGGACCTTATAGGCTCAGCTAAAACATGGTTTCCTGTCGCCATGAAAACACACCTTAGATTGTGTGAGCCAGCTCGCTTGGCGGTTGGACTTCTCCATTGTCTGTACAAAGGAAAGGGATTGATGTGTCAGGTTGAGAACTGGCGTTCAATCTTCCTTATGGAAGGCGTTGGAAAGGCCTGCAGAAAAATCTCGCGGCCTCCACTTGTTGCCCATCTTGCGCGCCAGTCTTCCTCGATGATGCAAGGATGCAAACCAGGCTCTTGTAGTGCTGCCTTGACACACTATGCCATTACATGGCTGAAGGTCCACAAAGCTAAGGGGAATAGTGCTGGCTTGTTGTTTCTAGATCTGCGAGCGGCTTTTTATCGCGTGCTGAGAAGCAGACTGTTGGGAGGATGTTGGACGGACGAGGCCATATGCGATGTACTCCATCAAATGAGAGTGAATCCTTTGCTTTTCCAGGAAGTTCTGGACTGGTCGAAAGGGCCATCGCTTCTTGAAGGAGTCAGTGGACATGTGGCTAGGGTTGTGCGTGCCTTTTTTAGGTTCTCCGCCTTCATCTTTCCTGCGGATAGTACCGTATATGTGTCTAGATCAGGATCTCGGCCAGGAGACTCGTTGGCTGATGTTATCTTCGCTCTGGTTATGGCTGACGCCATGGCGGAGGTTGAAGATGAACTGCGGCTAGTGTGTCCAAACATGTATGGCAACCCAGAGCTGTGCCCCTCTCATCCAGTGTGGGCTGATGATGCCTGCTTCCCTTTCTGGGTGGCTGAAGCACACAAATTGGAAGATACAGCGGCGCTGGTTGCTAGGGTCGTGCATGTTGTTTGCTGTAGGCGTGCGCTTGAGCCGAATTACGGCGTGGAAAAGACGGAGTGCATGCTGCTTCATGGGGGTTCAGGCGCGATGCAGGCTCGGAGACATTTGTTTGCGGGCAGTGGAAAGTTGACTTTCGAGGCTTTTGGAGTGCGACAACAGGTCAGGGTCACATCCACTTACACGCACCTCGGCACTACCATCACTGATGATCTTAGCGCATGTTGCGATGTGAGACGCAAGATTGCGAAAGGGTTGGGGCTAGTCAGGCCCCTGGCTTCAAAAGTGCTCCGCAGAGAGGACGTCCCTCTGGCTAAACGCGCTGAGATTTGCAATGCGCTTGGTCCCACTGCGGCGGGTTTCAATTGTGCCGTCTGGGGTCATTTCCCAAAAGATGTCATGAAGCGTTGGATTCGCGGGCATGAAAACATGTATCGCATGCTTTTCCAGGAAGACAGACATACGCGGTCTCCCAAACATCCTACTGTTTATGAAGTCTGTGGTGCTGCAGGGCTTCCGGCCCCCCAGGCTAGATTGAGCGTTGCACGTATCAAGCATGCAAGACGCTTGGTTGCGCTTGGCCTTGATCAGTTGTGGTCGATGTTGGAACTTGAAGAACGGCTTGTTGAAGAATCGTGGCTGCACACTCTTCGCATGGACTTGGCTTGGTTGCAATATTGGTGCAGCTCATTCAGTGGCATGTCTTTTGAAACCATGGACACAGATGAGATGGTTGTGTGGATTTCAGAGCACAACCTTGACCGGCTCGCCAAACATGCTTGGCGAAGGCAGACACAGACCCTGCGTGTTTGGGCGGAGTGGCAGTTGCAACAGAGGTGCATGGGTGCACTGGCAGGGGTGAGAGATCCTGGGCCTGTTGTAAGCGGGCCCAATTGCGTTGCGTGCCCACTCTGTGATTTCATAGCTGACTCAGGCTCGCAGCTTGCTGGTCACATCGGGTCGGTGCATGCTCATGTGAACTTGGCTTGGCGATACATGCAAAGTGCCACGTGTCGGATATGTCTCAAGCACTTTTGGGAGCCCAAGCGGCTTCTGGCGCACCTTAACAGTGGCAACGGGTGCTTGGCGCAAGCTGTGGTTGCTTTGGAACCTGTTTTTGAAGGTTGTCTTTCGCAAGTGGATGATGAAGTTGGGCGTGATGAGAGGAGAGACTTCAGGAGAGCACCTGCGGTGAGAAAAGCAGGACCGTTGAGACGGAGGCCTGCCAACTTCATCGAGTCACTCAGTTTACACATTCACAATGCTAGCAGTCTTGATTTAAGAGCTGTTTGCAAATCTGCCAGATTCTTCTCGCACGAGTGTGAGCTCCTCGAAACTTTGCTTGAGGCAGTGGAGCCCTCACCGCTCAATCGCAGCGGCCTTCAGCCCCCTCCCATAAACCCCGATGGAAGGGTATGGCTGCAGAAGGGTTTCCAGTCTTGTCCATAATGTGAAACTCCCAACTAATTCAAGCATGTTTTTGTGTTCAGCCTACGTGGCTGTGGCTCGTCCTGACTGGACTTAGACCGCTCGCTCGCTCGCTACCTGGCACGTAACACTGACATTGGGACATGCCATTTATCGTAAAGCCAGAGATGACTGAACTGAACCCTAATCCCTGAATTCTAAACCCTAGTCTCTGGAATTTCAGTGCAAAACCCCGAGCCCTCGACTGCCCAGGAGGTCCCAACCCCTTAAAGCCTATAATTGAAATCGTGAACCCTAAGCCCGACAACCCAAACCTTGTGTCCTGGCTTCTGATCCGATTCGTCCTTGTCTGATCGGTTGGTGCCCTGTGTATTTCCGAACCGCAGCCAGCTATGATCTAGCAGTGGATATCCGTGATCTGTTTCTGTGATCTGGTTAGGGCTCCAGCTGTGTGCTCGTGCAGATCTGATACGTGTAAGGTGCATGGCCAGCAATGGCCAACCGATGAAAATTCTGCCCATTATTTCATGTTCTTGCATATCGCCGAAGTGACGACGGCCATTGTCACAGGATTCCATAAAGCAAGACACCCCAAAAAAGACAATAAGGAATATGCGATGAACACCAAGGCACCATCAGCAACACAATCAGCATCAACATCACCAGGATCGCCATCGGCATCATCACCATGATCACCATCATCATCATCATCATCATCATCGCCATCATTGCGCTCTCAGTATTCTCATGATGATGCGGACGATAATCCCACACAAGACGGAGGAATCAGCGACACTAGCGGCGAGTGCGACGGGGACCGCGATAAAGGGAATCTGTTCTCTGTTCGGTGGTGCATGAGATGCTTCTGCGTGGGGGGGGGGGGTACACAGCTGGGAGCCGGTCTCCGGAGGCCGCGCGACAGCAGCGGCTCTGGCCATGGCATCGGTGCAGTCCTGGGTAGACCTTTTTGGGGCTTCAGAAAGAGGGGGTTTCACTGGTGAACTGCACTCCCAAAGCCCCTGGCTGGGTGCCGTAGCTCTTCACGAAATATTCCATAATGTTCGAGAGACCGGGCACCTGCACTGCAGGTGGTCAAGAGTGTGCCGAGCTCGACAAAGAGCATCACCTCCAGGCCTTCGGCAATTTGATGCCGACTTCAACATAGTTTGAAGTGACGATCTCATCACCATCCCAGCCTCAAGGATGGGCCCCAACCCATTTTTCCAACCGGAACACTGCCACATCTCAGGCTGCCGCCAACTGTGGCCCGCGTCCAACCAGCCGCAGAGATGGTGAGCCTGCACAAGCGCACAAGCGGGAGAATGCAAAAAAGAGGAGACCAAATGAACTCGGGCTGGTGCGTGGATCGGAACGGGAATCCCAACTGCAGGGTGAAGATATTTTCACCATTCTGCAGCACGAGGTCTCCCTCCAGCCGATCCTGCAACATTGAAGGCTGCGTGACACCGCGAGCAGTGTTGAAGCCAGCGAAGCAGTTGCGCAGCATGCGCACCAAGCTTGACCGTCCTTGTAGGAGCTTTCTCCCCTGTCTCTCCCCGTGGTGGTTCGCAGGGTAGTCAGAAATCTTGGAGCCTTAGCCGAGGTTCAATCCGCCCCATACTGTGGATCCGCACAACCTGCATAGGTTCGAGGGGAGTTCAGCACCCTTGGAAACGATGCTACACCTGCTACCAGTAGTGAGGGTAGCTCAACACTAGACACCAAGCAGGGAAGTCCGGGCAGGGACTCGCCAAGTATTTCGACCCCGGGATCTGTGCACTGCGAGGCGGAGGAACTGCACTGACGACTGCAAGAATGGAAGGGAGGAGCCTTAAACACACTGCTGGTAAACAAAACCCTCCTGGGCACTGCTGCTGGGATGGAGATGGTGCTCCCCATGACCTCGTAGAGCACGGGCCTGCGGCGCCAGCAATTGGACACGGGCTCCCGGATGTCTCTGGCAAGGGCCGCGCGGCAATGAGAGCATGTAGAGGTTCTCAGACCTGGACCGGATTTCCCGAGGCCGCGCGGCAAGTCCCAAGCCTAAGCCCCACTTGGCCCGAGGCTCATTGACCACCTCCACCTGCACACCAAGGAGACAGTGAAGGCGCTAGCAAATCGCAATCACAGCACAAACCACGCGAATGCATCGGCCTCCCATCCCTCCTGGGCCATTGCCTCGAGGCGTCCGAACGGTTCAAAACACCTTCAAGAAACAGCTCTCCACCCTCCCCAGGCCGCTCCTCCAGGATCTGCCGGTTGGAGCCGGCCATCAGGTTCGTGGCGCCCTGCAAGGAGGGGAGGAAGGGAGCTGAAGACTGCATCTGTCTCAGGCCCCGCCTCTGCCCCAAGCTCCTCCACCAATCGTCTCTTGGGATCTATCTTGACTCGGACGACGAGGTTGGCTTCCTCCATGCCCGGCCTTTGCACCGTAGGACCCGTTCCCAGAGAGCCCGAACCCACAAGGGTGCTGCAGTGCTTGCAAAGTGACTGCCACTGGTTTCCATTACCATTTCGGCCTTGCCGGACCTCTAAGCCGGCCTGATATAGTTACAGATCCGAGAGGGCACACGCTCGATGATCACGAGAGCAGTGTAAGCAAATAGAACAACAAATATGCACGCAGAAGGCTCGCAGAATTGCAACAGACAACAAAGAGAACACGCAGCATCCGATGCGCACGTTTGAACGGAGGAGGCACTGCGCGAGTTCCCAGCCGAAGGAACCAGCACAAGCCAGCATCAACACGATGCGCCCTCTGCCGACAAATGTCGCGAAACACGCAACACAAACCCAACAGACTTTACCGAGTGCTTCCTCGATTTGGCTTAAACTTGCCGCGGAGCTGAATTGGTAACTGGATTCGACTTGGAGGACATTTGATATTGAGGCCATTGGCCAGGGTCTCTGACTGACGCCAAGTTGCCAGGCCCAGAGCTGCGTCTCTTCAGTCGGATTCCTTTGCCTGCCCCTGCTGGCCTTGTTCCTGGTCCTGGTGGGACCGATCTCTCGGGGGTGGGTGTCCGATTCGGCCGTTTCGGAGCATTCCATGGCACCTGACCCACATTCTGCATTGACGGCGTACACAAGTGTAAATGCGCCTCGAAGCCTTGCAGGTGCATCGCTTGGGGTGGACTCTTTTGTCAACAGATTTCTTTGACCACCGCCGATGGCACTGAACATGCAGCCGGACCCCTCTTGACTGCACAAGCCATTACGGAATGTCCGAGCATCGCATCGCGGCTACCCATCTTCGAGACTGGGGCGTCCAGCCCAGAAGTACATTGCTCAACCCTTTGGCGATGCGGAACAGAGAAGCTGAGGGATCGCACACGTCCGGCGGCAGCGGATCCTCGTCTGAAGCTTGCCTCGGTAGCAATATAAGCCTGACCAAACAATGATGCATCCGACCGAGGCACAGCTGAGATCTCGACTCCTCAGGGGGAGCTGGCTCAGCTTCGGCCATCGAAGGCAGAGTCAGCCCGACCTCTACGCAAGAACTTCTTCCCATGCTGCTCTGCCTTTCGCGAGCCTCCGCCGGACTCTCAGCGTCGGTCTCCGGCCTGAGCTTCAAGAGCTGAACACAATCGACTTAGAGGAGCAAAGGAGACGAAGACGCCTGAGGCCCCAGCTGCGTCTCAGCCTCCTCCGGCTCTGGGCCCGTCAGAGGGGTGAAGAGCTCCTCCAAAAGAGAGCGGCAACTGCCTGCGAACCGCCTGTAACCCAGGAAGGACCGTCCTTCACCTTTTCTTCGACGATTTGCAACGGTGTCCTGAACTTGTCGAGGTATGAACGCATCCGTGCTACAAGGGACGGAACCGAGAGGACTGCGAAACTTCTGAGGCACCGTCTCTGGAGGCCTTGCAACCTCCGCAGCTCTTGCGAGCGCAGCCGTGCAGTCCTGGGTAGACCTGGTCTGACGCTGTCCACTCGTGTGCCCTGCTTCGCCCAGGACTGAGACCAGTGCTGCGTTCCATAACTCTTGACAAAATACTCCATGATGTTCGTAAGGCCGGGCACCTCCAGGTCGGATGCTCGAGACGGTTCAACTTGTGACACATGGCAAGTGCCTTCGGCAGCTTGATGCCAACCTCGACGTAGTTTGTTGCGACTATCTCGTCGCCCTTCCAGCCTTTGCATGACACAGTACAAGTTAGATTTTTGACAATATGGCGCTACGCGACTGCTGAGCTCTTGAGGCACCAAAACCGAAACGATGACCGAACCTCAAGCCTTCATCATACCACACGAATGCCAAGACTCGAGAACGGGAGTAGACAGTGACAATAGTAGCAATAGAATAGTAAAGCTGGCGGTAGTCGTAGACGTAGTCGTACTCGTAGCCGCAGCCGAAGCCGTACTCGAAGTCTCAGAAGCAGCCGTAGCCGTAGCCACAGACGTAGCCGTAGCCATAGTCGTAGTCGTCGTCGGCATATGCGCAGCAGCAGCAGTTGCAGCAGCAGGAGCAGGAGCAGGACAGCAGGAGCTGCAGCAGCGGCAGCAGCAGCAGTAGCAGTAGCGGCAGCAGCAGCGGCGCAGCGTCAGCGGCAGCAGTAGCAGCATTAGCAGCGACAGGAGCAGCAGCAGGAGCAGGAGCAGGAGCAGGAGCGGTAGCAGTCGTCGTCGTCGTGGTCGTAGTGGTAGTCACAGTCGCAGTCCTAGTCGTACTCGTAGTGAAGTCGTCGTAGCCATAACAGAAGTAGTAGTAGAAGTAGAAGTAGGAGTAGTAGGAGTAGGCGTAGGCGTAGTAGTAGTACTACTACTACTACTACTACTACTACTACTACTACTACTACTACTACTACTACTACTACTACTACTACTACTACTACTACTACTACTACTACTACTACTACTACTACTACTACTACTACTACTACTACTACTACTACTACTACTACTACTACTACTACTACTACTACTACTACTACTACTACTACTACTACTACTACTACTACTACTACTACTACTACTACTACTACTACTACTACTACTACTACTACTACTACTACTACTACTACTACTACTACTACTACTACTACTACTACTACTACTACTACTACTACTACTACTACTACTACTACTACTACTACTACTACTACTACTACTACTACTACTACTACTACTACTACTACTACTACTACTACTACTACTACTACTACTACTGCTACTACTACTACTACTACTACTACTACTACTACTACAGTAGACGTCATCGTCGTCGGGGGTGTGGTGGTGGTCATCGGAGCTGTGAAGGCAGTAGTAATGGTGGTAGGAATAGACGTGGTCGTCGTATTGGTAGTGATCCAGGTGTCGTAGCCCCACGTGCCGGAGCTCCCCGTGACGACTTTAAGAGCACTGCTGATTTGGGCCCTTGTCCAACCAGCCGCCGAAATTGTGAGCCTCGGTCAATGGTCTGAGGGCTGGGATCTCAATCTGGGCGCTTGGTGTGAAGAAAGCTCGTTCGTGCAGCGTTGGCGGACTTGTAGACCGCATGAGAAGCTGAGGTTCTGACGTGTTTCGGAAAGGGAAGCCTAACTGAAGAGTGAAGATGCCCTCGCCGTTCTGTAGCACAAGGTCCCCCTCCATTCTCCCCTGCAAGAATCGGACTTGGCTGATTGCAATCGCTCCGCATCACCAGGCCTGGTAAGGACTGGAGGTCGGTGTGTCGCGCGTGTCACGCAGCTTCGTTAAAAATTTTGGAGCCTTAGCCAGGGAGCAACTAGCACGCACGAGGTAGACGCACAAAAGGTGCACCGAGAAACACAGCAGAGAGAGAGAGAGAGTCAGAGCAAAAGAGAAGGGGCGAAGGCCGAGAAAAACGAAAAACACGGTGAAGAAAGACAACCAGGATAGATTCTAGCGAGCGAGAGGGTGTGGCTCAAAAGCAGATGTTGCAGACCTGCATCTGGGCATTCCTGCTGGGATGGAGATGGTGCTCCCCATGACCTCGTAGAGCACGGGCCTGCGGCGCCAGCAATTGGACACGGGCTCCCGGATGTCTCTGGCAAGGGCCGCGCGGCAATGAGAGCATGTAGAGGTTCTCAGACCTGGACCGGATTTCCCGAGGCCGCGCGGCAAGTCCCAAGCCTAAGCCCCACTTGGCCCGAGGCTCATTGACCACCTCCACCTGCACACCAAGGAGACAGTGAAGGCGCTAGCAAATCGCAATCACAGCACAAACCACGCGAATGCATCGGCCTCCCATCCCTCCTGGGCCATTGCCTCGAGGCGTCCGAACGGTTCAAAACACCTTCAAGAAACAGCTCTCCACCCTCCCCAGGCCGCTCCTCCAGGATCTGCCGGTTGGAGCCGGCCATCAGGTTCGTGGCGCCCTGCAAGGAGGGGAGGAAGGGAGCTGGGGAAGATGAAGAGGCAGCGGTCAGCACTTGTCGAACTCGACCCCAAGCAAAATTCAAGTTTCTCGCCGCCTCTTCTCCTGCTTTCAAGACTTTCTGCTTCTTTTGATCAATCTCAACCGAGACGACGAGGTTCGCATCTTCCATCCCGGGCCTGAGCTTTGAGGCGCTGGCTCTGGCACCAGAATTCGACCCGACTGGGTTCGCGACACTTCGGGTGCTGGTCGAACCTCCTCGGCGAGGGGCCTGGAGTCTCGAGACATGCGTCTGTGCCCCACTCCCAAGTCGTGGCAGCAATACCGAAAATCAATGCGAGCAATGAGACACGGACTCTGGTGGCGGCAGATCCTCTTGAGGATCCGCATCCTGCCCAAGTCGGTGCTAATGCAACAAGATCATGCATACCTGCACCTCCGAACAAACACACAGATGTATGTGTGTGTATATATATATATGTATATACACATATATACGTGTGTGTGTGTGTCTGTGTGTGTATACGTGTATGTGTGTGTGCATGTGTATGTGTAAGTGCATGTGTATGTGCATATGTATGTGTATGTCCCTTTTTGTGTGTGTGTGTATGTGTGTGTATGTGTGTATGTGTGTCTGTGTGTATGTGTGTGTTTGTGTATCTGTGTATCTATGTATCTGTGTACCTATGCATCTGTGGATCTGTGTATCTGTGTATGTGTGTATGTGTGTATGTGTGCGTGTATGCGCATCTGTATCTGTATCTGTGTATGTGCATGTGTATGCGTATGTGTATGTTTGTATACACGTACGTACGTATGTTTGTATGTAATGCAGGGCTCAGATCGCCGTGCAGGACGGAACACTGTTGCCCCAGGCGTAGGAAGACGCCGACCGAGCCATTGGGAAACACCCAAGCTCACCAAGCTGGCACCGGCACCGCCGACGTTGCCGGTCCAAAGCCCGCGCTGCTCTGCGAGCCGGGCACGTGCTCTCCAACCTTCAGCAGAGACGGCTGCTTCTGCACCACGGCTCAGGAAGAGTCGTACCAAGCCTCTACATGGGACGAGGGCAGAAATGGGACGACAGCTGGGACGAGTACTCGCCACGCTCTTGGCAGCTTTGGCGTGGTGCAAAGAAGAAAGGTTGGAAAGGAGATGGGAAGCAAGATGGTGGTCCGAGCCACGCGTTCCCTGCCTACGACAGGAAGAGGGGGCCTGGCAAGCATGGGAACGACCAGCCGCGTGGGGGCGACACCAGCCAGCCGGAGACGGACTCGGGTGGACTGACCAGTCTGCTACAGACATCTCTCAACGCTACCAGGAAGGCAGAGCAGCGAGTACTCTCCTTGAACAAGGCCATGTCGGATCGCGAAGGACTATGGAAAACCTACGAGGTGGAGCACAAGAACGCCTTCCGGAAAGAATACACGCGCTTCCACCGGGATATGGACCGCCTCCGCGAGGACTTGCAGAAGGCTATGGCGACACAGGCCGGTGCCCGCGCGAGTCTTGCGAGAGTTTTCCAAGACGGAGGGCGAGCAGAGGAGGCCACAGAGGAAGCGGACCGTGCATATGCCATGATGGTGGAACGGGGCCGGATGGACACCGATGGGTTCGATGCTCAATCAATCCTGCAGCGTGCCATCGGGGAAGCGTCTGCCATGGGCCATGGGGCACACGCCCTAAGTGGACAGGTACCTCCTGCCTGGATGGGGAGCCTACAGCCAATGGCCGGTGCATTCCATGCACCTCCCGGCCTCTCAGTGCTACCCCACACAGGGGGTGCCTGTGCTGGCTTCCCACCGGATACAACACCAGTGAGTACCCATGTGGCTCCCATGACGGGGCACGGCATGGACGTTGCCAGCCCGGGGGCGCCGGACGGCTATGTGAACAATGTGGTGAGAGACCCCTACCTGCAGAGCCCCAGCGCCAGCGGTGGTGCGGGGATCCTTCCGTCGCCCAGCCAGCATTTCAAGGGGCCAGACGGAGCGAGGGTCTCAGTGAAGACACGGCCACCTGCAGCGGCACCACCCACAGGGGGCGTATCACTGGGACAGAAGCTGGATCAACGCCGCCAGGCGATGGCGCCCTTCGGGCTTCCTGGACACGCCCTCGCCGCGGAACCGCCTCAATCTGGGGCCCCAGCGACAAGCTCTACGGATCAGGGGGGCGTTCCTTTCCTCACGGACCAGGAAATTCATGCCCGCCTCCACGCTTTCTCAGGGACGGAGACGAGACCGAACGCCATCCATGCCGACTCCGACGACGAGCCAGCGAGGACGGCCTAGCGATCGGAACCTCGCTCACCGGTGAGAGAGCACATTCAGGTTGCTGCCGCCTGAGGAGCCCATGCCTTCTGAGTTCACTGGGGCTGAACTCGTCGGCAAAGCTGCACCCCGGGCAAGGCTACAATCTGATCCTGGTGTTTTCTCTAGCGGATGGGCGAGGTTTTCCTCGCGGCCTTAGTGAGATGACTGCTGAGCGCGGTAGGATTTGTGTACAGACAGGCACACTGACCGTCCTGGGTCCAACGAACCCTCTGGAAGGTGTTTGGATGTTTCTGCATTGGGTTTTTGCAGATCGTCTGGATGCCCTCTCCATCCCTGTCAGAGGACAGCCTGTTGGTTTTGGAATTTCACCTCAACAGGGCTGTCGTCTGATTCGTCGTCGCTCCGGCTGTCTCCTCCACGCCACAGCCTCGACACGAACCCAGCTTCCCTTTTGGATTCGGAGTGGGGTTGTTCCCTGCCTTGGCCATAGGAGCCCAACCTCCTCCCTTCGACTGCAAGTTTTGGGGTCTTCTTGTGGTTTAGGGACACCCTTCTTCCCTTTGTGGTTTAGGGCCCCTAACCCACGCCCTTGCAGCCAGGCCGACCCGGCCGTACACAACCTGGCACGCGGGTGCCTTCCCTCCCTTTGTCTGCTAGCCGATAGCAGTATTTCAGTCAGATGCAGGGGTGTCAGGCAGCTAGGAGCGCAAAACATGCGTATCGGTTGCTCTGGGACGCAGGCCCGAGCTGCAGACACCGCACTCACTGAAAGCAAAGTGATTTCTTCGGAGGATCCCGAATTCCCCCAAATGCGGAGCTTCTTGCTTGCTATGCATGGGCTCCTTCTGGCCTGCCTGTGCAAGCTCTGGATAAGGCCCACACCTAGCCGGAACCAGCCTCTGGGCAAGTGCTTGCGATTGCCCTTCGCGGATCTTCCAATTTCTGTGGTCATCGCTGTCGGGAATGTTGCCTCCCCTGGGCAGCCAATTTTGCAATGGCCTGCACCTCGCCGGAAACGTGCCCCGGCGCACCTTGAGCCGAAAACATCGCGGGCAAGGCGCGCGGGTCTTTGGCCAGCGCTGGCCTATCTTCTGCTGGGAACAAGTGTGCAAATATGCAGTGCTGCTCCTCAACCTGTTGAGGGCCAGCTTATCACTGAGCTGGCACGGGCACACTTGCCTGTTGCGACAGGCTCGGGCCAGACCGAACATGATCCAGGCCCTGATAATGCACCCGGGGCCTTCGCAACGAACTCGAGCAGTCGAGCCGAGGCTGCTGATGCCGAGATCAACCATGCCCATGACAGTAATGCTGCAGAGCAAGACCAGGTTGAGGTGCATGGACTCCTGCTTGCACATGGCTACCCCTCCAGGATCGTGAGTGTTGCCTCATCTTTTCCAGTAGGCATGCAGGAGCTGACCACAGCCCTTTCGGAAAGGGTAAAGGATGAGCCCATCCCCTTCGATTTTGAAGTCGTCCTTGCCAACCCACAACCTGCAGAGGGCTATGTCACTGCTGTCCTTGCCCCCACGTGGCTACAGGGTAGCGATAAAGTCCTCATTGTGCTGGATTTCTCTGCCTGGAGCGGGCCAGTGTATGCCCTCATTACATGGGCCCGTGTGACCGAGGCTGACCTCCGTGAACACATCGATCTGCACGCTGACGAACCGTGTGCGATCTTTTGTGCAGGGCACAACGCCCCAATCAGGGCAGGCGGAGAGGTTGTAGCTTCAGGCACTGTATTCAAGGTTGTTAGGTTGCACAGTGACCCCGGTTGGGGTGAGCATGCTGCCTCAAGCCTTCAGAACCGAGCATTTCTCACAGAGGACTTCCGCTACATGTGGCGCGAAGTAGACAGTGATTCATGGTGTATCCTTGCGGAGCATGTCACCCGCACTGTTTTGCATCAGGGCCGCTTTGATGAGGAACTTCAGTTGCATGCTGCGAGTGCCATGCATCACCGTGTTGAGCACCTGGCCTTTCATGCCTTGCCATATGACCGCCCTACGTTCAAGCTTGTGCAGAATGGCGCCCTCCTCTCGGGCATTGTTGCTGCCGCGCGCCAGCAGAATGATGCTACAGGAAGCACGGGCGCAGGCAAGTTTGTTTTCTTTGACTGCCGGCCGACGGGAGGTTGAATCCAGTTCTTGTTTACGGGTAGGGACGTCATACCTGGCAACGCGCTCTTGCAATACTTGGGAGTCAATGTGCCAAAGGATTGTTCCGCTCACCTGCAGGGTGATGCCGTCCAAGCAGGTGACATCCAGGTCCTTGACGGTGCGGTTGTTACTGTCACCATCGCGCGGAACAGCGATTCCTCTACGAGAGAGCACCGACCAAGCGGACGGCCCAATACCAGCACTGAGGGCCGTGCTACAGCAGCCTCCGATGAGCCAGCCTTTGCCGCGTGCAGTGAGGTGTTTCATCACACCATCTCGCTGACACCTGAGACAGATTACTGCAATGCCATGCCCAGATCGGGGGATTATCAGACCGAGCCAGTAGTACCGAGTGATGGGTGCGATATCTTCAGTGTGATTCGCTTGTGTGCCGCAGTGCATGCCCCAAGGTATCAGGCTGAAGTTGTGAAAGTCGAGCTCTCGCATCCATACGATGTTGAGGATCTGCTTAGCGCAGTGCAGGAAGGGCGGCAATCTTCTTGGACCTTTGCTCTCGACTCATTAATCCCTGTTGAGCCACAGCCCGACCCGAGCCATGTCAGCTTGATTGCTGTCCCGGAATGGGCAGCCGCCCACCCCTTTGTCCTGATTGATACCAGGTCTGTAGACGGACGGCTCTTCTGTTGCGAGGTACCAGGCTCCTTGAACCGAGAAGACTTCCTCAAGCTTGTCGGCTTGGAGGCTCAGGATAGCCTTGAAGTGTTCCTTGCAGGAAATCGCTGGCCACAACATGCTGTCGTTGATATCGGGATAGCCTCCTTGATCTCCGTTCGGCAGCCTGCGTTGCCAGCTCCCTCTAGCCGGAGTCTGGAGCAGATGATCTCATCACAGACAGAGTGGAGTGCATCCTGCACTCCACCCTCGGGACCTCGTTCATCGGTGTTCTGGGTTGGGCATGATGCCGGCTTCAGTGTTCTTGCATATCGGCCGGGTGCAGA